TTGATATTTAAAAATTTTGAGACCTCTTCTTGGATCCACAACTTCTTTCCCTGCCTTCCCCTTCCTACAGTTAGGAAAAGAGTAATGGAGGAGAATATATATACATATATACACACACACACACACACACACACACATATATCACCATAAATATTCTACTGAGATCTAGTAGAGCTAATAAAATGAATTCAGCATATTAGCAGGATGCAAAACTAATGTGCAAAAATCACTTGTATTTTATAAACTAAGAGTAAACAATCTGAAAATAAAGTTCAAAAAATTCTGTTTGTAATGGTATGAAAGAGTGAAATATTTAGTAATCAAACTTAACTAAGAGAGGAAGGACTTATACATTGGGCAACTACAAAACATTACTAAATGGCAAGACATCCTGTGATCACTGGAAAGACTTCAAGGGTTAGTATTAAGATATTCTTCCATTATCGCTTAAAATTTGGTAATCATGTTTTTTATTTGTAAGCAATTTTTTTTTAAAGATTTATTTATTTATTCATATGGAACTGGGGTACAGGCCAGAGATGTGGAGGGTGAAGGCTTCACCAGAGACAGAGTGGGGAGCAGAACAGGCAGATCGATGAAGTATACTGCTGAGGGGAGCAGCGGGCGGGTCAGGAGAGGTCTGCCTCGCCATGTTGTCACCTCCGGGGCAGGTGGGGATCGAACTCCTGTGGAAGTGGCTTCAGCCTCTCAGTGCTGTGCTTTAACCTGCTGCACCACCAGGGAGGGCCTGTAAGCAAATTTTTATGATTATAGATCATTAATTTCCTTTTCACATCTGAAATATCTCCTTCAGTCGTATTAAGAACACAATTTAAAAATACACTAGACATTCTTCTTGTTTATGTATTAACTATCTTTTGCAGAAGAACATTTGCTTGGTCTTCCTTTAGACTTCCATTTGTCTCATTGCTAATGTTTATCATTATAGGGACTAATCTACATTTCTCTAGAATTTGACATCAATAACGATGTGTAGCAAAAGTATTTGGATTCCTGTTTAAATATTTATCGCTAGAAAAAAGTGAAGGTAACATTTACATTCTTTGTAGTTTTATTCCTTAAGAGGAGTAAAGAGGCATTTGTAGGTTTCTTGGTAATGTGTTGGAGCTTTCCTTTTTTTGTTTATTTTGGCACTCTGAAACTTATCAAGCCAGTTTTTTTTCTAATTGGCACAAGTACCATAGTCCTGAGCTCGCGGCAATCACGCCCCCTGTGCCAATTGTAGCCTGTCTCTGTGAGCACCATGATTTGCTGTCCTGTGTGGCAGGCAGCACCTGTTCCACAGAGACAGACTTAAAGGATGAGCTTGGCCGCTTCCCTCTGCCTCACAGTTCACCTCCCACCCCATCAATGAGGAGTTGAAGCTGTCTATACCGACTTCGAGTTCTAGCTAATTTTGTTTCCCAATGAAGACGGTCTCACTGACAAAAAATGAACTTGTTGCCTAATGTCCTGTGTTGCTTGTGCCAGCCAGATCTCAGCAATGATACTGTTTTCCTTCTCTAGTTGGCTCGACTGACTTCACAGGAAGTTGGCTTCAGCTGTGCCTCTGCTTTAATTGGCCAGCTTTGGAGCATATTTTAGAAACAATATCATGAATTTAGTTTGGGATCTGTTGGATGGGAGGCAGAGCTGTTCAGTTTGTATTGGTAATGGGGATGGAGATGTAGATTGGCCCAACAGAACTCCTATTTGAGAAATGCAATAGTATATTGGATTGTCCAGGGAAAGCATGTCAAAGGAAAACAGTAAGGCTGGACAGAACCCTGGGACTACAGCAGGTATGGAGTGCACTGAGGAAGAAGTTGATGAAGGTTACCATGAATGATATTTCTGGAGGAATGGATGACAAATAGGGAAGAATGATTTTGTGGAGCCAATGAATGTGGCATCTTTGAAACTGTCCCAATGTTTTAGTGACATCAGCTAGGCTAAGGACAGATTATGGGCTCATTTTGCTTGAACAACAAGGAGTTTGTTGGTGACTTAGTTTATAGTACTTCCAGGATGATGGAAGGCAGTCTGTAGTTGATTGAAGATTATATAATAGGTTAGGACATGGATCTAATTAATTATTTTGAAAATTACTGTGGAGGGGGATAGATTGGTTCAGGAAGATAGCTACAAGTGAATTAAAAAGGTATGTTGTGGCCCTCTCTGATGGTGCAGCGGGTTAAAGCACAGCAGTGAGAAGCTAAAGCCAGGTCTGCATGAGTTCAATTCCTGCCTGTCCCGGAGGTGACCACATGGGGCCGCAGACCTCTCCTGACCCGCCCACTGCTCCCCTCAGCAGTGTA